AACAATAACAATCCCTCGAAGAGCCATTCGCATCTTTAGTGAATGGAAGACCATTCAGCTATTATGCAACCAAACCTAATTGTTTACCAAATATTTCATGTGGACAAGATGTCATTGATCTCATAATCCTAAGTGGCACTATTTTTGTTCATTGTTAAGCTGTTTAAATAGGTTATTTTGGACCAAAATTGGCAATCAAACATTAAATGCTTATCAGAAGTAAAATTATGTTAAAATGGTATGATTAAGTGAAGATGAAAATAGAAGACATAGAAGATGCAAAGTACTCAGTTCAAATTCATGAAGTAATATTTGTTGTAGGACGATTGTTTAAACTAATTGAACAAGTTGACATTGAAGGAACGTTGAAAAGTTACTCTTTGGGCAGTCTGCCATTGGCCACTTTGACATAGATGAAGTTAGCTATTTGGTATATTGACAAAGCGGATATCATACCAGCCACGTGTAAGGCAATTTTCTGACTCCAAACTGGTATTAAAAATTCTGCGTAGTAGTAGAATAAGCTGGCCATTCCGCACAATGCAGCACACAGAGAGAGAATTCTTGAGGGCAAGAGGTAGCGATAAGTCAGTTTCAAAATACAGAGGATTTGCAGAATTGTTGCTAGTAGAGAAAAAACCGTAGCCAAAAATAGAAGTGTCAGGACAATAATTGGTGAGGATTCGTATACTTCAAGACAAAATTCTGAGTAGAGCCAAGTACATATCCATCCGTTAGAAGGGATGGCGAAGAGATTGAGAAGAAAGACTATGAAGAGGACTGGAGTTTCCCCATAAAACAAAACCATTTTCTAATCTCAATTCAAGATTTTCAACTCAGATTACATAGGCTTTATGTAAGAGTTGAATATGGTGGAGTATTAATCAATGAGCCAATCAGATTGTTCAAGAGATTTTAGTAACAATCATACTCTTTGTGGGCTTTAATTTGACCAATGATTTTCTTCTAAATTACAAACATTGCCATAAAACCTCACAGCCTCCTTGTTTTATTGCTTAAACACACATTAAATTGACGGAAATATAATTTAAAGTCAATTTTATTCAACCAGAGTACCAAGTTTGAATCAACTTTGTTGAATAATACCAACTATTTTGAAGCAGAAAGCTTTTAACGTTATCGATTTCCAATCATCGTAACTTAGTTAAACAAGTTGAAACATAATTGAAAAATTTTATTAACCCAGAGTTAGAAGTGTCATTGCTTCAAAATAACCACTGCAAATGTTAATGATATAGTGAAAGTGAGTGCGTCATGTTCATTAAGACCAAAATGATCTTCTTTCAACTTCTCTCAAAATCATTTCCAAAAGTTACCATTGAGGTGGTTAGTCTTCCTCACCACGACTGCCAATAAGCAGGAAAATTTAGTTCACTTGATGTTCGTTGATTTTTAAATGTTTGAATGGAAGTCATATGTACTCTAACCTCACTGCCATCGTTTCAGAGTCATTTCAAATGACATTTACTGTGCCATTTCGAGTTCTATATACTAAGAGCGGAGAAGTAGCAAATCGATTAGCCTTGTCGTTTTCATGAAGCAACTGCTAGAAAGTGAGTTAGAATGTCCGAAGTGTTCGATCAAGTTGTTTGAGGCGGTTGAACCACGCGAGAATTCGTTTGCATTTCGCTTGAATTTTGAAATCAACTTGACTAATAATCACATTTCCAACAATATCCACTATTGTTGAGCAGTAGCTATTTACAATACAACATCACAACCTGAGATCTAGCAACTCAAGCACAATATTAGTTCTTCCGATTAAAGTGGGAAATTATGCAATAAACTTGTACATACGCTTAAGTTGTGTCAGTTAGTGTGATTGATATAAACCAGGCCATTGTTTATGAAGTAAATGTTAGTGGGTGCCAGGTCATATGCTTTTTATTTTAAATCTAATATTATTTTAATGTGCAGTAACGCTTCACCTTGAGAGAATGTAATAACATAAATCATAGAGAGACATGATCCTCAGCTCTAAACAAGATTCAATAAAGTTGATGTGTTTGAATGCGTGCCGTAAGACGAAGTTGTGGAGGTAAGCGCCCATACAGATACACTCACACACGCAAGCACTCTGTTATACTCCTCCATGATAAGACGATCGATGATGCTTAATTTATGCTGAATGCACAATGGACATTGTCATTTTATCTTACTAAAACACATTTCCTCTTGTTCTTCTCCAATTGGCATACGTCTCCTTCAATCATTGCATTCCTGATTGTTTGTTGTGAATGCATCTTCCCTTAAACTCTGACACCCTTCACCCTTCGATTTACAGCAATAACCCGCTAAAAGATCGATCAGACCGTCCATTTCCATCACCAACAGCTTTTCTAATTTCATCGACAACGCTTTGTAGTAGGTTGATGGAATGAGAGAAATGCGATCGATACTTAATCAAAGTTGCTACTTGTAGGTATTTATGAGTTTAAAATTGGTAAACAGATAAATTATTTTTATTGAGCAATAGCGAGCAGTATTAATTTTAATGGTCAATCCAATCGAACTGCACATAGTAATTAATATAAA